CTTTTCCATGTGTAATATATATATATATATATATATATATATAAAATATTTTAAAGATTATTGTAAATGTTAAATTGTAAAGTTGTTATATTGTAAACGTTGTTGTGACAGAAGTTAATTGCTTCCTCATTTTTTTCTGTTTAGATTGGTCAGCTGTAATCTCACTGGTCAGTGCTGTGAAAGTTTGTCTTCAACTCTACAATCATCAAAAGCCCATCTGAGAGAGCTGGACCTGAGTAACAATGACTTGCTGGATTCAGGAGTGAAGCTGCTGTCTGCTGGACTGACAAGTTCAAACTGTCAGCTGAACATACTGAGGTATTTAGGAACACAGATAAAGATTTAAGGGACTTTCACACCAAACATGAATTTTCACATGAAAGTTCATTGCAAGCAAGATTTTGAATAGAAATAATCACAACAATAATCACAAATTAACTACAAGTTATGAAGCGAACACTTTAAAGCGCATTTTCGGAAATGGCAGTCAGCTTTGCCTTGCCAATGGGTTACATTTAAAATCAAAGAAAAACAATGTAGTTAAAATAATTCATATTCACGGACAGAAGCAAATTTATTGTTAACTTATCTGCGTTTGTTAGAACAAATAGTAAATGTAAATGTCGAGCCTGTGCTTATGTTTACTCTATGCTACACAGTAATACACCATATTTTTGATTTTTACACATTTAACAGATGTGCAGTATCATATGAAACATATGATATATAACTTTAAAATAAAGAAAGGGTGGTCTAACTTTGCATCGGAGCAATAAAAGTTGTAGTCTGTTCAATGTGCCTACATGGGTTTATATGCTGAATATCAGTTAATATTCTTGGTAACACTTTAGAATAGGGAACACATATTCAGTATTAATAGTTAGTAAGGTAGTTGTTAAGTTTAGGTATGGGGTGGATTAAGGGCAATGTTCCCTCTAAGCTGTGCGCGTGCACAGCCGCGCACTTCATTTGTCGCGACCACGCAGAAGAAATTACATGCTGCGCACAGGACAGACACAAAAATAAGTTGGGAAAGCCATGTGATTGAAGTCTAGTTAAGTGCGAAATAATTGCAATGCTCGGACAAACCACTATAGAGTTGGTGTTGCTATAGAGTTAGAACCGGTGAATGCGGTTTACAGGTTTTATAGAAAGAGAATGATGTGCGTCTAATGAGTCGCTCTAGAAATCGAATACTGCAATGTTTGCGGAAGAAATAGCTCAACACGAGAGCCAACGCTAATGTAATGACATGTGAAATAAAATGTCATTGTGTTTTAAAGAAGAGTGTCTTGATTAAGTGGTGGAAATAGCAGATGATGGGCACAGAATGGCAACAAAACTCAGACATTTACAGTAGTGTGCAAATTCTACTACATGGGGATGTTTAGATAACTAAAAGAATTCACATGTTCACGTTTTTTGAAAATATTTATTGAAAATATTAGTTTTTTATATTATATATTATAAAGTCTAAAAATAATTAAAGGGGTCCTATTATGCTTTTTCACTTTTTTAATTTTAGTCAGTGTGTAGTGTGTATGTTTGGGCATAAAAAAGATCTAGAAAGTTACAAATTTCAAAGTCCACTCCAAAGGGAGATATTTAGTTTTTTAAAAATCCATTTTCAAGAACTACAGCAAACGGCTCAAGTGGGGGTACGCGAGGACTGAGAACTGCTGGTCTAGAACAATTCTTACAAGTACAACACGACGTAGCTGGGCGCCGCGGACAGACGCCGAACGGCGCTGCCGGTGTGCCTACACTCATAGAAAATAATGTATTTGAATTTTAAAGA